TTATTGTGTATATTTAAGATCTTTTATATTTGTATAGAATTATATAATCTGTAAATCTTTATTACAGTTTTAGAGATTGTAGTAGTTTGTTGTTAAATAGTAAATATTAGAAGGCTGATATTGATTATATAGAGAAATGTTCTAAAAACAAGTAAAATAGGTATTAAATTATTAGATTTAATAGTATTATTAATTATCTTTATAGTTATCTAAAGTATAATTACTTTATAAATATTGAATTTATAAATTTCTTTATAAATAATCTCATAAGATTTATACAATAGTATATAAAATCTTTCAATAATATTAATTGAATAATATATTTTTATAGGGATTATCTTTATCTGAATAGATATTAATATAATATATTATTGAAACTTTTTTTTAATAAAATTAGTATTAGTATTATAAGTAATATATTTTAATAGATTAATATATATATCAATTTAGTACTTACAAAGTTTATTTTATATATACTTTATAAATATATTATTTAATTATCAAATAGCTTGAAAGTGTATAGCTTTGTTAATAATATATAGAATCGGATTATTATTGATATAAAGTATATTAATAAATATAGTATAATTAAATTCAAAATTCTTATTGAATAAAAAGAATTTGAATTTGTTAAATGATTTATTATAGATTTGATAATAATAACAAAACTTAGTAAGCTATTGATTGTCTTAAAATCCTTATTATATTCAGAGTATTTAAATACTTTATAGAACTTATATATAAATAAATAGCTAAATTAATAGTAAATTTGTTATAGCTTAATTTTAATAAAATAATAATTATTATTATTAATGAAATAATTAATTAATCTTTTAATATTAATATTTTATAATAAAATGTATGATTAAATTGTTTAATATATAAAATAACTACTTTTAAGTATAATAACAATATTATTAAGATTGTCATATTTGAATTTAAGTCTATCTATATCAGTTAAAGAGAGTAAGAATAAAGGTCGGTTTTTATTATATTCCATTCTATTTCTCTAAATAAAAAATCAATATAAAATAAATTAATGAAAATTATTGCTTTAATATTATATTGAATTGTTATCTATTTAGCAATAACTTTATTATACTCAATATCCTTAATCTTTTTTTATATTAAATATTAATTATATTTAATAAATAATCTCTTAATTATACTCATATTGATTATAATACTAAAGAATATATCAGTATTATATTGTTTATTATTTGTAATAAATACCTTAATTATCAACTTATAAATATTTATAGTATTATTAAGATTAATTGTTATTGAAAAACTATTATAAATATTTATAAAAATAAAGAATATCCTGAAAATCCTTTTAGAACTATTTATATCAGTAAGATATTGATTAATAAAATAATTATTATTATTATTACTATTATTATTTTGATTATTATTTTATTTAATATCAATAATAAATTACTCATATTACTTTATAAAACTCTTATTATTAAGATTATTATATTTAATATAATAATTTATTTTAAATTGATTTTTCTTCTTTTATATATACTTATAGTATCTATAGTCTTTCTTTTTATAATTAAGGAAATAACAATTATTCTTATTCTTATTAATTAATATAAAAAAAGATTATTATTTAATATATTTATTATAAGATTTCTAAAAGAAGGAATCTAAGGATTTATTATTATAGAAATATCGATTTATAAGGAATATCTCAGGTGATATGTTTTATCAATTTATAAGGAATATCTCAAACAATATATTCTACTTTAAAAATACTTTTTAATAAGAATTAATAGTTTACTTAATCTAATTAATAAGTTTATAATAATTAAACAAAAGTTATATATTACAGAATAATATTCTGAAATATTATTGTATACAAACAAGATTCTAATATAATATAATTAAAAATTGCGTATATTCCTAGAAATAGTATACTAAATAAAATATAAATCTATGATTATTATATTAAATACTTTCTAAGATTTTTTAATTAGATTTTTTTCAATATAATCCTTGAAAATGATTTTATTCTATTTGAAAAGTAGTATTCCATTAATATTCAAATTCTTTGAAATTGTTAATTATTATTTTATATATACTATTATATATCTTAAAAAGATATTTAAAATTAGTTAATAAAAGTCTTTAGTTATATCTGAAAGTATAATTAGGAAGGCTATCAAAATTATTTTAATTAGTATAAAATCTTCTATAACCATATTCTGTAAATATGAAAATCTTTAATTAAAAAGATTATTCATATCCTTATATTTAGTATTATCTTTATAGATTTTAAAGAAAATTAATCAAATCATCATTCTAATTATCTTATTATCTTCTCAATAAGTAAAATATTATAATAACTCTATTTCTATTACCTTTACCATTACTTTTATCACTACCTCTACTACCACCTCTACCACCTCTACCACTATTACTACCTTACCACCATTCTTATTACTATTATTATTATCTAAACCATTATTATCATTAAATAATCCTACAAAAACATTAACCAATAAAACTTTAGAATCTAATAAAGATATATTTCGTATATCCCCAGATTAAAATGGAAATTGGGATAGAACTGGTTCTTCCATTATATCACCTATAACTTTACCAGATTTCAGCAAAGTTAGTTGATTAGCCATATCACCATCCTGAGATTTGAAAGATTTGACTTATAATCTCAAATCGAGTTTGATAAAAAAGTAAGCTTATTTTGTTAATACAAATAGTTGTATTTTATTAAACTAATATTCCAGAAATTGATTTGTAATTCAATTATGATATTTGTTATAATCAAATATTTCTATAAAAACATTCTTGATATTTATATTAATATTAATATAAACTCCATAATATTACAAAATTATATAAAAGTTATATAATATCAACTTATCAATATTCCTTAATATACTTTTATAAATATATTCGAAATCAAATATAACTATATTCTAAAAAGATATATTAATAATTCCTATCTTTAAGTATATAATAGTTTTAAAAAGAAAGTGTTTATTAGCCTAATACTCTATTTCCAATTTAAATATATATCCTTTATAGAACTGCCTAGCTTTATTAAAATTCTTTAGAAAAATATAATCCTGAAATTCTCTTTTGAATTCTAAATCCTTAATTTCCTAAGCTTTTCTTTTTTCAATTAATATTTTGTTAGGAGAAATATAAGGGTTAGGGGAAATAATGAAATAAGAATAAGGAGAAATACTAATTAGATTCAGATCTTTATAAAAAGAAATACTGAAATCTATTTGTAAAGAATTAATACTATCAATTATTATATCAATATATCCTTTTATACTAATAAATTGATTAAATGAAATCAGTTTTTTACTAATATCGAATTTCTTATCAGAATCGGATTTCTTGTTAGCTTACTTAAAGCTAATACTAGCATTTGTTCGGGATGTTATAATACTAATAATGGGAAATAAAAGAAATAAGAGTAAAAAGATATTTCAAATAAATAAGTAATTTGTAATATCACTAATTAGTATTAGTTTGAAAAAGAAATACGAAAAATATAGTTCCTACTATATATAGACCTCTAAATGTCTATTTGTATTCAATTTAAGGAGCTAGCTAAATGAGGGGAATAGTAGGCCTTATATAGGCACTACTGAAAGAGCTAGTCTCCTTCGCTTTCGCCTAAATACCTTTAATATAGTTGCTATTATATGAAAGTCATTCCTTTGAAGTGAATTCCTTTGAGTGAATTCCCTTGTCTACACATAATCTATATATGTTATATAAAAAGTTAGTAAAATCCGATATATAAGTTTCTTTTGCTACACTTCGAAACATATAAATACTTATCTTACTATTGATTTAAGAGAGATACGGAAGACGTAGTTCCCACTATATGTAGGCCCCTAAATGTCTATTTGTATTCAATCTAAGGAGCTAGCTAAATGAGGGAAATAGTAGGCCTTATATAGGCACTACTGAAAGAGCTAGTCTCCTTCGCTTTCGCCTAATATCTTTAATACAGTTGCTATTATATTGAAGTGAATCCTTTGAAGTGAATTTCCTTAAGTGAATTCCCTTGTTCATACACTTATCTACCTAGGTACCTACTAGAAACCTTATAGATATACATATTACATTATATCTTATTACATTACATTACATTACCTTATATATAAATCTCACTTACAAATACATACTATAAAAATCAAAGCCAGTAATAAGAAAAATAGACTCCTCGTTCCTCGGTACTGGATATATAGGTAGGGAGATTAATTATTACGTTGTAGTATTCAAATAGGTATGTATTGGGATTTGAGAGTTCGGTGTAGATTTCTCGAATGTATTTTTTTTTTAAGAAAAAAGAGAATTTATAGATAGTAGTAGATATAGGTATGTATAATAGGTATTGTAGAGTAGATGATGATGGGAAATTAGAGAACTGACTGTGAGTATTTGATATATTGTTAAGTAGATACCTAGGTAGGTAGGTATTTACAGATGGATTATTTAATCCTACTTAATCTTGATTTTGATTTTGATTTTGATTTTGCCATTGTCATTAACAAAATCCAAATATTCATAATTTCAAAGTTCCCACGAAAAAATTCTCGCAATAATTGAAGACGCCCGCATCCCCTAATCTAAGCGATGCTTTTGGAATGTTGCCAGCCACACCTAAATATTTTTTCCTTTTCCTACCTACTTGGACGGAACGGGTAAGATGCGATTGATTAACTATTCCTCGGGGTTTATTTTTCATGTTTGCAGATTAGATTCGGGTAGTGTATCTATTTGCATCGAATTTCTTAGATATCGAGAGAATTGATTGATGATGAGAACGATGGTTTGTTGATGCAAACCGTCAAAAATTATGATTACTCGCGAAAATGGAAGATGCTTTGGAAACTTTGGAAACTTCGACAACTAAAATAGGAATTCTATGAGATCTTCCCCTCTATACAATCCTCCAACTATGAATCTACCTTCGCAAAACCATTCTCCTACACCAATAATTCCGGATGGCGAGACAAACAGCAACAACAACAGCAAGCCCTACAACTCCATCTCCCCCATCCAAATACATCCACTCCTCCACCTCGCCACCCCTCGCCCCTCACTCCCGTTCTCCCCCCAAAGCTCTCCAACCCCAACCCCTAAACCTCCCCCCCTCCCCCCAACGCGCAAAAATCATCCTCGGCTTCTCCGGCATCGGCAAAACACACCTAGCCGCGCACGCGAACCGCGAATTCGAATGGCTGCACGTAATCGACTATTCACTCGAGCGACACCATCTCGATTTCAGCTGCGACTATCAAACCGAGTATCTACAGACGATATCTGCTGCGGTGTCGCAGCCGGGGGTGTTGTTATTGGGAGGACCGCGATGGGTGGGAGAGTTTCTGGTGAGGAATAAGTGGGCGTTTAGTAGTGTGTTTCCGAGGGTGGAGTGTAGGGAGGAGTATGCGGTGAGGTGGGATCAGATGGGGGAGGAGGAGGGATTGGTTGCGCATCGGTTGGTGGGGTGGGAGGATGCGGTGAGGGATATGTGGTGGGGGGAGGGGAGGTGCAATCATTTTGAATTGTGTGCGGGGGTTTATTTGGAGGATATTTTTATGGATGTTTTGACGGCGGCGGATCATGTGGAGGGATCTAGGGGTGGGGAGAGTGAGAATGAGGATGAGGGGTTGGGAGAGGTGTGGTATGATGCGCATGAGGCATTGGAATCACCATCCTCTTCTGCGAAACGGAAAAGATCACGTACTGAAAATGATGCAATACGACAAATCGTCCAAAGTCTCAAGTCTCGCCAGTCTTCTCGAATTCAATCTTTCCTCAATTACACTTTTCTGATCCTTCAGTTTATTTTCCTCTGTATCCTAGCCACGCTCATCCTACTAGCATACAAAGAATGGGATCTTTGGCAAATGAGGAACAAACCAAATCTCCCTACCATTGGAGAATTTTCCGGTCTAAGTGGTCTGAGTAGGATGCACAATATGTTTAATCACTGGTTTCTTCCAGACTGTATATCAGCCATTTTGCCAAACTCACGAAAAACGTGGCTGGGCACTTCTGACTTTCGGAAAGAACTTGTGATATTGGTTCAGAAGTGGTTAGACTTGGAAGAATCTTTGTTGGGTTCTTGATAGGGATGTTTTGAGCCGTTTATAGGTACCGATGAAACGAGTATATATTTGGGAGAAGATGGTTTTCGTAAGGCATACTATAGAATATTGCCTTTCAAGTACTCCCTAACCGTGATGCTCAGGGCAAAGTGAATAAACGTCGATGAAACAATCATCGTAGTATACATAAATCAATGCTCTCCTTTTAAGATTTGCACGAACTTGCAAATATCATCCTCGAGCAATGTGGTTCAGCGTTGTTGTGTAACTAAGCTTGACATTGTGTTCAATTTATACGACAAATTTGATGACTCTATGAATGGCAAACCCAGTGGATGGATGTCACTCGTCATTTTAAAAGGCTGCCAAAACATCACGTTTGTACTTACAACAAAATGAAGATATTGCTGAAATGTTCTTGCAAAGGGACAAGATTGAAAAAGCACACAAATGGTGAAATGCCATTGGCCTCTTCATAAGCCCGTGCTACATTGATGGGTCACTACAGACATTTGTAGAATCCTTCGTACGAACGACCTTCCTCAGACCTTTGGATCTTATGTTGGTTACCATCTTGCTATAACTCTTCCTAATGCCCGCCTTTGCTGTTCTTCTCATTTTACCACGGCTCGACAGCAACGATCATTTTTGATGCCAGCCATGGAGCAACACACGATGTAAAACTCTGTGATCTCTGAGAGATCATTCGGAGCTATTAGTGTGGTATAAATAGGCGAAAGATCATGTTTCCCCATTTAGTACCCGGTTTTGAATGTAGCGAATAACATTTTTCCAGATAGCTATCTTGATGAAATCGTTCAACGAGCACCAAATAAATCTGTTATACTCAATCTCCTACCTCCCTGGGCTTCTACTTGGCTGGTTGGAATTTGGGTCTGAGGTTCTTGGGATTCTGCATTTCCATGGTTCTCTACCATACTCTCCATCGTTTGCACGTCAAGCATGGTAGCTTGTGTCTTCTTCCAATTCTTGAGAATTTCTGATTGATTCGCAACTCTCGTACCCGTCTCATCATCATGAATGTATATACCATAAGCCTTCGCCACAGGAGTACCTCCGACCGTCTCTGACTTTTCAACTGTCCAATATAAATACTCCCCATTAATCTCCACATTATTCATTTCGCTGAAATCGTGAATGATATTATTAAGGCCCTTGCGATTGAGAACCACAATGCAGTGGTCTTCAGCGCCGGTGGTGGGAGAAGGTAAAAGCTCGCAGACGAACAATGTACCTTCGATAGGAAGTTTCTCCCAAGTTTTTGACTCTAGAGAAAACATGTACATGGTGGCAGATGCGGCGAGTGAAGTGATCTTTTGGATGGATGGATGATAGCGCCTGAGGACGGATAGATTGAGTTCTTCGTTGGTACGAGTAGGAGGTGCGGGACCTAGTATTGGTGTCTCGGTATCATAGTCGGAAGCTTGAACTTGGCTTAACTGAGAGGGACCTGGATGATTTTGACGCTGACGAGGCTTTCGAGGCGTCATTTTGACGGGTTTGATGTATGCGAGGGTAGGAGACTTGAGATGTGGTAGATTATAGGTCAAGGATAGTTATTATTCTATGAAAGTCTACCGTTTGTTGGTAGATAAGTGGTTGATGTCGTGGATTTGTTGCTGCGCCAGTGGTGAGATGAAGTCGCGAGGCAGTTAGATGGATAGATAAGTTGATCTAACCGGTATGAACTACTGAATACGGTTTCGAATCGGCGTTCGTAATGCAAAGAATGGCCGTAGTGTGAATGACGTTTGTCGTGTTATGGGACGGGAAGATGTAGGTCTGTATTGTCATAATAAAGGAAGAAGGATCTCAGCCTCGCGGTAATAGATGGGGAAATGTGAAATGTGAAATGTACTTACCTTACTAGCCTGGTGGCCTGTACGTTTTGGCTGAATACCGGGGGCTTTTATTACTTCTAGAACAACCCGTTAGTACCACAATTACAATGACTTTAGCTTCGGTCCGTACAAGAATAGAAAAGTATACCTCGATGGTTGGGTAGTTGGGTAGTTATGTAGTTATTGGTTTAATTTATTTACTCTTATTCTTTTATTCTTTACATGATTACATTACATCAACTGGCTGGCATTCGTTCTCTCACACACTCATTCATTGACTTGAATACCTACCTACTCACACACCTTTCTGCTATTCTCACTGCAAATCCGTTTTGCCTTCAATCACTACATCGTAAACGCTCTTTTATTTTCTGCTTGAAATCCCACCCCCGGTGAGCTTTCAGCCTACGTCATTCAATCCCGGGTATTTGAAGAACAAAAGGAAAAAGCAAGACACCGACGAAGAAGAAATTCGAGCACGACCTTCGAGAAAGAGTAAATGAGAAATAGGCCGCGCAAAATCAACATGTTATGAAATTTTGATTTGACTTTTATCACCGAACAAACCGTTGTAAATCCTCAAAGATGGCCTCGAACACGAGAGATTCGATAGATGAGGAGCCTGTCGAAGTCGAATTGCCCATGACCTCCAGTCCACAATCCCTCTCGAAAGCCGTCTATGCGCGACGAAACGAATATACTCGACCGCATAAAATCAAAATAAAGATTGGTTGCTGGAATGTTGCTGCGTGTCCTGGAACCGAGAAAGATCTCGCAGGTTGGTTTGTGCAAGGCAAAGGGATTGACAAACGACTAGCTGGGCTTGATATTGCCAATGCGATTGAGAAGGAGAATAGCCAATCAAACATAGAAAGTGTCGAGGAACAAGAATCAAGGAGGAAGAAGAAAGAGTCGACAATCCCGCTTGGCGATGAAGGTATAATTGCTGGCGGAGAAGATGTCGGATTGTATGTTTTGGGATTACAAGAAGTTGTTCAGCTCACGTCTGCGAAGGAATATATTGGCAAGGTCTATTCGAACGATAATCCTGTAACAATGTGGAGGAAAGCACTTTCTGGGGCTTTGCCAGAAGGTTACACTTTAGTGGCCGAACAACAGCTCTCTGGTCTACTCATGTTCATCTACGCATCCCCAACTGTTGCACCTACGATAAGTTCTGTCAGTACCGTGAGTATTGGGACTGGATTCATGGGATATCTAGGGAACAAAGGCGCAATCACTACTAGGATAGTGTTGGGAGAAACAACTCGACTTGTATTCGTAAATTCACATTTGGCTTCGGGAACGGATAAAGCGCATTTGGAAAGGCGAATTTGGGATGTCTCGCAAATATTGCAAAGAACGCATTTCGACCCTATAAGCCGAGGTGGAGTTCTAGATGATGCCCAGGAGAGCATCGGGGACGAAGATTTTGCTTTCTGGTTTGGAGATCTAAACTTCAGATTGGAGGGGTTACCGGGAGACGATATTCGACGATTGTTAATGCTTCACACGAAGGGAGAATATGACATTGGGTCGCGATCAAGAAAGAAGATTGATAACGAAATTGATGCTGGTGACGGACCGATTGTAATAAGGTCTATTGATAGTGATGACGAATCCGAGGAAGACTTTCGTAAAAGCAGTAGCACGTTTGACCCGAACGACGATTCTTCTACTGTGACCACGCTTCCGGATCCAGACGATTTTATACAAGATCCAAGCCAAGATCCTGCCTCATTACAAGCTACCATTGATTCACTATTACCACATGACCAATTGAGGCATGTGCAGAAAGCTCGAAGGGCGTTTCACGACGGCTGGAGAGAAGGGCCAGTGACATTCCTTCCAACATACAAATACGATGTAGGGAGCATGGGAATTTTCGATTCTAGTGAGAAGAAGAGGGCTCCAAGTTGGTGTGATAGAATTCTATTCAGAACACGAAGAGACAAATTGGTGTTTGATGCCAAGATGAATGAAGAGTTATTGGCAAGAATAAAAGATGAAGAAATGAGGGCTCAAGGAATGGATCATGCTACCGACGATGAAGATGTTCTTTTTAGCTATGATCCCGATGAAGATGGGGAGCAACAGACCACGCCTTCCAAGAGCGATGATTATGATGAATATGACGACTACGATGAAACTGAGGACAATGAAAATGCACCAGTAATAACTAGGGATGGATTTGTGGATCGAATAAATTTGGATATTTATACCTCACATCAACGAGTTCTCTCATCAGATCACAAACCACTCGATGCTGTCTTTACCTTGGAATATGACGCAGTCGTGCCCGAACTAAAGTCAAAAGTACAGCAAGAGGTTGCTAGAGACCTTGATCGAGCGGAGAATGAAGCTCGCCCTGGAATAACCATTGTTATAGATCATTCACAGAATACAGAAGAAAGTCATCAAAATGATAAATCTCGCAAGAATTCCAATGACGGAAATGGAGCTGTTGATTTTGGTGATGTGGAATTCGAACACCGAAAATCTAGAAACATCACAATTGCAAACACGAGTCAAGTCACATCTACATTTGCATTCGTTGATAGACCTGGTGTTGAAGGCCAAGAAGACAGAATTGCACCGTCGTGGCTCAGTGTGTGGTTTGCAGGATTTTCTATGGACGAAGATGATAGAGCCTTACAAGATCTTAAACGAGAGGTTACACTGGAACCTGGGGATGCAATCAATGTCACACTCGAGGTTTTAGTGCACGATCCTTCCTCTGTAAAGTCATTGAATAATGGGGAGGTCCTACTCGAAGATGTATTGGTATTACGAGTTACAGATGGAAGAGATCATTTTATTCCAATCAAGGGAAACTGGCTCCAATCTTGTTTAGGACGATCTATTGAAGAGCTCATTCATATACCAGAAGGTGGTGTGCGAGCTTTATTACCCCGTCCAAGAGGCCAACCCGGACCTCCGGTCAATAGAGGTCAGGAAGTGACTTGGTCTGCCCCTCGAGAACTACTTAAACTCACACAAGTCGTCGATTCTCTCACCGATCGTGTCGTGGCTGATTCGAACATGTTGGAAGGGGCGATGATACCTAGAGACTCTCCCGGTTGGCCATTCGATGAGAAGACCTGGCGATACAAAGATCAACCTACCAGGATCGCTTTGAAAAGTCAAGTATTAACAGCTCTCGACGCCGATCAAAGTATATATGACATATTTCCCGTCGAAATCCCAGCCGCGCATCGACTCGAAATCGTAGCAGAAGTTCTCATCCTCTTCTTGCGCAGTCTCACTGATGGCATTATTCCCGCACCTCTATGCGAGCAAATCGACTCTGATATCACATCTCGAGTAAATACCCAATCGGATGTCGAAGAAACAAAAGCGTGGCTACTAGATATTCTCTCGTTGCCTCATCACAATATCTCTTTTGTCTTCCTCACTTCAACACTCTCCCGTGTAGCCGGAGAACTAGCACCAATACCTAAAGTAAGACGCTCCCTCGACACAGCTGTTCGTATCGGATTCGATTCCGTAAAGAGAACGCTGAGTTGGAAGGGGAGAGCAGCACCGCTTCCGGAGGATCCGGCGGCGGTGAGGAGGAGAGAAGTTAATCGGGCGTTTGCGGACGTGTTTGTAGGGATAGTTTTCAAGGGGAGTGTGGGGGTGAAAGAGAGGAATAAGAGGGTGGTGGAGGAGAAGAGGAGAGATGTTCTAGAAGCGTTTTTGAAGGGGTTTTCGCGTTGAGGGGAATGGGGGAATGAGGGGGGAGGTCTGTAGACCTTTTTTTTTTTTGTAAGAGTTAGCGAGCGGGTGGTAATGAATGAATGAATGATTTTGGTGTTTTTTTTTTTCTATTATTACTGTTGGCGGGATAGATTGGGAGGGAGGTCGTTATTGTTGGGGTTTGGAGGGAAGGCATGGAATAGATGGATGGATAGGTGGGTGGGACAGCTTGGAAATGCTATCTACATGTGTGTATGTAACAGTCTAGGAAGTAATGCCTATAAATAAATTATGACTAGATGTTTACCCACAAGTGTATATTGCTATCGGTGTTACCAAAAAAATATCACTGTCCCGCTACATGGCTCTCGTCACTACATAGATAAACGAGAAAAGTATTTAAAAACGTATATTATATTCCATTAATCATTAAATGAACCCCCAATCCCCAGAAACGAATTTATAGATAGTGATCTTATAAAAATTAATAAATACTGAAAACATCCGTCCCATTATCATATTTCACACCACACACATCCACAAAAGAGCCTACGACTTCGGCTCTCTCGCCCAACCAGTCCTGCACATCTTCCTCCTTGCAACTTGTTCCTGGACCCCCGGAACACGTCACCAAATCCTGCGGACTATTGTTTACCAAGACTCTGTAGTAGGTACCGGCGTCGTAGCCAAAGCTATCGCATTCCATTTTTTCGATGGCGACGTTGGTGAGGAAGGGGAGGATGGCGCTAGATTTCCAGGCGCGGTTGTAGTTGATGGTGTGGAGGGGCATGGTGGTGTTGATATTGTTTGCGCCGGAGTAGGCGGAGTTGTTGAAGAGACCGAGAGCGACGATGACGGTGGGCGGGAGTTCGCGATGGGTGAAGGAGATGTAGAGATCTTGGTCTGTGGTGGCGTTGGAGGCGTTGTTTTGTTCCGTCATGAGCGTGTGGAAGGTGGCGTTGACCCAGGGGAATCCAATGGCGCCCGAGGCTTCGTGTCCGTACCCGGTGTTGTAGAAGTATTGGATGTCGTTTGTGTATTCGAATCCGAGCCAGTCGGTAGGGGAAAGGACGGAGAGGTCGCAGAAGGGAGAGGAGCCGCGGATCACGGTTTCGTAGCCGCAGAGAAGGGACATGCCGTAAACATCGTTGGATGTGAAGTTGAAAGCGGGAGCCAAGCTGTTGAAGCGCGCGGTGACGGGTTTGGTGTAGATTTCTTGAAACTCGCCAGATTCCTCGCTTCCACCCGAGGAACTGTATGCCGGGCAGGCCTTGTATGGAGTCAAGGAATTGGCGCTCGAGTTCTTTCCTTCGTATACTTGGACAATCTCAATATCCGAGGCATCGTCTGCAAGACCATTGGAGAAAGATTGCGCAGTCTTCACGGTTCTTTCTGCGGTGGACGTCCATATTTTATTTGGAGTTCTCAGGCTTTGATATCTCTGCGCGATGTCCACACCCAAGTTTGTGGCCTCCAATTTACCCGATCTGGTCAACATCTCGATTTCGGGATCGGTAATAGGAGCTTGCCATGTTGAGAGGAAGGAAAGACTTGGAATGCTCGCCCAGTCTACAGATGTGTTTGCGAGCTTCTGTACAAAAGGCTCAATGTACTCTTCGTAGTCGAAGTCATTGGCATAGATTGCAGCATGGCGAACAAGATATGCAGCTCGAGTTACGTTGCATCCTTGAGGAGGAGCAGGATCAGTAGGGGGATCTTGAGGGTCGAATGGTGGTGCGGTTCCAGCTAGATGCTCCAATGGATCGAAAGAATAGGAATTGGGTGAATGAGAGACTACATTGGTAGCTTGGAGAGCGAGTGTGAAGAGAACTGAGGAACGCATCTTGAGATGGATGAGAGGAAAGAAGAGATGGGGATGAAGGGAAAGGATTATGCCCTACCAGTTCTGGTACCTTACCTTATATCCATGATCTGAGAGATCTTCATCGCAAAGCTCTCAGGATCATCGTCACGGCTTGAATTTGCAATCTTGGTACCAACTAAATCAAGGCACAGGAACGGTATCCACGATGCGATGTCTATTTCGTAGATGTGTGGGCACAGTCGGCAGCTAGTTCAACAGGTTTGTTGTTTTTTGTTGTCGGTGGATTAGCTTGATGTCAGCCAAGCCATTTAGATTGGCGAATCACCAGCCACATTTATGGGTCTGCTTAGCACCAAAGTGGTTAGCCGAATCAGGTGATGGGTGTCGCTCAGGGGTGCTAGCGCAGTTCCGAGCGTGCCATAGTTAGGATGAACTAATTATGTACGATGAGCTTGGTAGTTACGGGGGTTGCGGTCATTTCGGATGAGATTATAGGCTCTTCTACCGGTAGGTGGTGTATGCTATGAGGCCCTATAAGGCTCTGAAAGTTAATGTCCGCTCTACTAAATTAGGGTAGTAAAGCTTATATCCCAAGCTCAATCAGGCTATAGATAGACGTGATATTCGAAAGCTTGAAGCTTAGAAGCTCGTTAAGCCGCATGTAGGCTCAAGCTGTGTAAACACAGATGTCTTCCGGCAACTCCGTATTGCAAGTCGGAATAAATCCCGGTGCACATGTCACAAAATGACGAACCTCTTGATTTCCGACAAGCTGGCTCGGCTGGCTGCTGAATTACCTAAGACTTCCCGAGAAAAATAACAAGAATGTTCCAGGCTTTCGCAGATTTGCTCTCTGTCTCAATTCACAAAGTCTTTGCTTGTTCACACTGAAACACGACCTTCGAAGTCGATGATTCATAACTTTTCTGTTGGAATATCTATTTTCGCAACCATAGCTATAGTTTGACGTTCAACTTGACGTCCAAAGTTTATCTTGTCAATACACATCTTGCTCGTATTCTTCCATGCCCTTAACTTCATTCATCGATCTCGTTTTCCATCTTGAACTCAAACACTGCAATAGCTAGCTTAGATTGATCTAGTTTCAGAAATTCAAGAAGATGAATGCCCTAACTCCCTTAGGATATTGAATCCTTCTGTTGCTACCTACGTCCATAATGAACACTCTTGAAATAACCAAACCCCTCTCACTTGCCATACAAGGTCTTAACGCGGCCTGGGTCACAGTCTCGGGTCATGCCATTTCGCGCTGTCGGCAAATATCACAACTTTATTCTTCAAATTGTACATTTACCAATGATGTTGTGCCTCTTGTCTTCCACTTTCCCTTCCAACTATTAAGTTCTTGCATATCTGGTCAAATTCTCCTCGCAAACATCATATAACCTGGCAATGGGAACCAATGATTATCTCCAATACATTCTCTCTGAGCATGGGGAGATGTTCTTGCCTCTCTTAAATTGGTGTCAATTCTTCCTTGATATGCTATTTCGGCAGAGAACCTTTATATTGGAAGAACCAAGACATTATTGGTTCCTTCACTGCCTTCAAGATATTTTCAAACGCCATTTGATCAAGTCCAGTGCGGATTGCTTTCATCCTGAGCAAGTTCTTCTCTCTCTTTTTTATCTCGTTTCTCTTCTTTGCCTTCACTGTCTTCCCTTTTGAGTCTTCTACTCGCCTTAATCCTGACCTATCGAAGGCTTTGGCTCTTCTCTAGAATTGCATTGCAACTTGTTCTTGCTCTTTCTTGGAGAAACTTACTGTCTTAGTGAAGCATCAAGTGAAATGATATTCTCAATGCTCTTTTTGTGTTCCACCGCAGTTCTATCCTCGTCTTTCCGCTGGAACATCTCTAAACAACACCTCTAGACCAGCTCTATTTACCAGGTCTTGGTGGGGTATCAATCTCAGGATCTCGAAATGGCTTCTCATACCAGGATGAGTTTCGAAAACTTCCAGTGAGGTTGAATATCAGCCCACCAGTCAATGAAAGAATATAGTACGTGCTACTTTTCTTTTGATGACTGCCGCTGTCCAGCTTAAGCTAGAATTCGTTCCCTTAGATGATCTCCTCGAGTATAATCACGTGTTTGTGGTACTGAGTGAAATGATGCTTCACATAGCGAGCTGCGACTCCTTTGGATTTCCTCTAGAGCTAGTGATAGTCCCGCTGAATATGGCTAGAAATCTACCACCCAGCTTTATTTCCATACACTTCAGGGTCATCTGTTTGAGGGCCCATGTTCCTCTCCAATTACCACTGGAGGTAGGACCTCGAGGATTGTTGCTTTGAGAAGAGTACGAATGATGTGGGAACTGCAATGTAGGCTCTAGTTGTCAATGTTTATTCAATCTAAAGAGCTAGCTATGTACAGAATAAGTAATACTTAAATAGACCTTGCTGTTGGACTAGCTCCTTTGTGACTTAAGGCCATCCATTCACTCTTTGTTCACACAAGGACCATCTTAATACACGCGGTACGGATCTCAGAAAGCTGTGATGCTTAGATGCATTTCGATCTCCAACGTATTTCTTGTATGGTCGTAAAATCCCCATATCCTGGTGTGAATGTTTACCAACATCAATGATGGTCATAATTTTCGTGTACGTTAACATACCGGGCCGTCGAACTCATTATTCTTTGATAGGAAAAGCATCACAGAAGTAAGTCAAAACAATTAATCCTTGATATTTGGTAAATTGCATTGCCAATCGTTCATTTTCAGCTCCATACTTCGATCCTTTGGTTCTTTATACTGAATCTGACGAATACCATAATCTAGCTGTAGTTTGGTAATTGTTGATTGGACAATCTCTGTGACCTGATTCGACCATTTCTTATAGTTTGAAAGTCGGAGCATAATTTCTCGATCTGTTCGATCTGTCTGTCTTTGTCTGGCCGAAGTTTTATTAGGCAGATGGCAAGAAAATTCCTTGTGAAGATTCCAAGATGATGTGGTGCAAGAAGCGCGAAGAACTGTATTTTGTGTCCTCCAGCGATAATCTACAATGGACTAGTACCATCGTCGATATGAAACTTGAAAGCACATCACTTCTGTTCCACCTTCACACTTACTGTCAGGAATTCAAGAGTCTCGGCTCCCTTATTCGAATGAGCAATTTGCGAGTCGCTCATCGATGCTCGAGCCACCGGTGCTAGATCTGCGCGGATCTCAGCATCCGAGCCAATCCAGGATTTGCAATTTCCTGTGCTAATAGTCGTTCAACATTGCTTCCTGGAAAGGATACCTCGACCTAGAATTCTGACGAAAAATACTCGTACATCTGGGAAATCTCTGTGGATGAATAGTCACGGAATTCCCTCGGGTATCTCACCATGATTCTCTGGATTCGGCTTTGAAGGATTGATCTCAACTGTTCTGTGAACAGCTTTGGGAAACGACGGTTAGTTCGGAGAACACAAGTTGACCCTTCTGGCACAATCTCCGCAATTGCAATACTTTCTCTATTGATTGACCCATCTTCCAAAGATATAAAAGATACCTTGGAAGCAAGCTCTTCAGCTCTTAGAGAATTCGAATTGCTCTTTAGCGGCGCTCTTGTAGAGTTCGCCGCATCTAATTCTTTTCTTTTTATTCTCTAGTGCCTGCATCGGCGATCATATGCTGGAGCATATCGATAGAGGTCAAATAAAATAGAATGAGAAAGCTCAAGAGGAAAGAGATCTCTAAGTGTGATAAGTAATAACATTGATATGTGATGTTCGTCACACAGTTCTCTCTTCACCTGTCAGCCCAAGCTAACGTTGATACTGCAAACATCTGAATCTTCCTCGAATGTTGCATTTTTCCCGATCAGAGATCCCTTGATCAGCCACCAGAATTCATCTTCTAGTGTCGTATAACATCACTGAATTCAGACGATACAAGAAGTTAGTTCTTCCTGAACATCTTATCTCGATCCGGTGTGAACTCTTGCCAGTGGATAGTGCCTGTCACGTCTCCAGTAAGGAACTGTTGCCTGATTGAAGTATCGTGCAGCGTACTTGCATATGGAGTGTTTCTACTCTAACACCCGAAAGCGCATCTTGTTGAATTTTTATGCAGCTCTCTGCTCGACAAGATGGGATCTTCTTTAGTTCTCGTGCCCCCCTAAAAGTATTCCGTCCTCGTCGCTGGAAGTATGAAGTCGATTATGTGGATATCCAAAATGTTTTGCGTGTGTTTCGTATGACACAGGAAGCTTCCAAGCTTACAATGTCATTGTTATCGCAATCCGCGGCAAAATCGACAATAGTTCCTGGATCTCTCTTGACTCTAAAAAGCTTCCTCTCCCACGGCATTCGATATCGTATGTAACAATGTTTACAAACTTGCATGTAGCCAATATTCATGTCGTCTTCTAAGACCAATAGCTGGTTCCGGGTACGCAATCTCAATATTTTCGATTTCGGAACCGATCTGTCTTCTTTTTCTTGTTCACACTTCATTCAGCCTTAGTCGAACTCTACAGGCTTTGCTGCAAGATCTATCAACTACAATATCCTTTAGGTAAATCGTGGATTGTGGAAATTGAAAGTGAGAAATCATGTATCCTCCGCGTGAAGATCAAGATTGGCTCCGTGGGATGGTTTCTCCAATTAGCAAATCAATATGCAATTTTTGGTGCTTTGCTTTTTAGATCCTAGCGTAATTTTAACATGCTCTATGATTCTGTCCGCCGTGAAATGTCCATACTTCAAAGATAATTCCGTTAAGGATGTTAAGTAGTCATCACCTGGAAAAGGCCGAGCGATGCCAGAGATTGGAAGTGATGCTGAAGGGACACATCTTCCGACGTTTAGTAGCCTGGGAGTATATAGTTAAGGTTGTTGTGGGCAAAGATGATTCCAGTCCTTAGTGTTACTGTCTCCAGTCGTTCCTTTCTTGGACAGCTTCCAATTCCTTGTTACGTTTCCCTTCTCGCTAGGATCAACGCACTTCAAAGAAGCGGACTTCACGAAGAAAATCCACCTTTCCGTTAAACTACAATTGGAAGAACGAGTTCCTTGAGGTTTATATTCACAACCAACTACGCAAAGATGAATTCGAGCCTGTAAGTCTTCATTAGATCCCCTCTCAATCTCATCTCCCAGCCCAGTCCAGCACCAAAACAAAGAATTTGAAACTGTCATATATCTTTGATGTCTCAAAAAAGCCGTTGGGGCGAAGGAAATTCGTCAATGAGTGCTTCTGTGACGGGGCACATACATAGGATAGTACATCTTTCAGCCAACGCATCTTTGTCGACCAGTGAATCATTTTCTCTTCATTGGTGATTCAGTACCGCCGGCAATCGTATAATATTATTCATTCGTGACTCAACCTAGGAGTTGAAAACGGGGAACACGGCCAGAACCATAGGGGATCGGGTTGATCAGTTCATGCATCTGAGTTCCTAACCCCAGATTCTTTCAAATAGCCGGACCAGCGAGTTCCTGTGTGATCCACTCTTAGCCTGTAGAATTTCGGAATGGACCCGTTATGCTGCTGATGACACGCTCCCTGGAATACCTGTTTTGAAAGGTAGGTTTCATTTTAGGTAGGATCGCTGAACGGGCCATCAGTCAGATATAAGTCTAGTTCCCAGTTCTTTTCATGGATTTTGTATCTTCCAGGGGGAAAGGTTCCCATGTAAGAGATGGATCCAGCGATTAGAGTAATCTCATCTTCTCATCGTTAATGTTTGGCTCGATTTGATTGCATACCCAATAATTCCCTTAATTCTCGGCATTATGTTTGGCGAGTTGTAACCACTTATCATCGCCCTTTGGAAATTCGAAACTTCCAATAGGTGTGTTGTGTACCCAATATAGCTGGGCCTTGAGGAAGTTCATTTCTTCATTCGCGCAAATGCTGTCGAACAGCTGGAGCAATAGATCCAATGGGTGCTCGCTTGGACTGTCTTGTTTACTTTGTTATTGGTGGACTTCTAACTAGAAGCCGGGAACTCAAGATTGAACTTTTCGTAACTGAATCTTGAATCAACTGATTCTCAAAAGTCTGCTCTTGCCCTCTGTTAGGCGATGCAAATTTCGTTACCGAAGGTACTAGGCTAGACAACAGAGTCAAATCGGTGAAAGAAATTGTGCAGTGTGTACCATCTCCACGAGAATACTACTACAATCTCATCTGCTGCTCTGATTCCACAATAAACTGTCCCATATTCTGGTCTTCTTAGATCTTGAACACGTGGTTGTCGGTAGAACATACAGAATCATAACACGCGTCGACTTTGCTGGCGTTACATTATCTGCAGCTCGTTGCAAGACCACGGGGCGAACTATTCGACTTGGCCATTTTTCCACCCATTTCAATGGCTACAGGTATATTTGGTGTATGCGAGTATATCAGCTCATCTGGACCTACTACTATCACCAAAGAAGTGCCCATTGTTCTCACTTGATTCATGTCATATCGAGGTCGAGCTCGGGATCTTTGAAAAACACTGGGCTGAAAACACCTATGTTCATGTCATGTGCCATGATGACAAGCTCGAGGAAGACTAAGAAATCATCCGCGAAGTCTTGCATTGCAATACTCGCAGAAGCAGCATGAACATCCCAGACATATGCCTGCTCTCTTTCTTCTCCTTCTATTATCTTTCTCTTCGGTAATGATGATGCTTCGGTTTTCAATAGAAGCTCAATGTCTTCCTCAATTTAACCTAAGAGCTCTTATAAAAAACGATGATCTGGCTCAGGACCTTGATAGCCGGCATGGCAGCCATAAAAGAGAACGTGAGCAAGATGATGGCCAAGTAACCAAAGATAGGGATGAAGGAGAAGTCGTTGTGTATCAACAAAATGCACATAATCCTGAAGCATCTACGTTGAGATGTTATCATATCTTCATCGTTGGGCTCACCATTCGAACTTTCTTGTTCGCTGCGATCCACCACGGAAATTCCCTCTTCATTCTTAAAATTAGTGTCGTTGTTTGGGTATCCATTGGAAGGTTCATCGGTCTTAACATTGGTGTTTGCCTCCTTGTGGTTCAAAATGCACCTGAGTATAAACTTTGCCCATGGTTTCTCTTTGTCCCATCCAGGAGTAAATGCAAAAAACTTGATACTGAAAAGCTTTTCGTGTACCGCAACCATACTGTCGCTGAAATTTTCGATAGTATCGCGGAAAATTTTGCGGATTTCAACTTCAAAGAGCCGTCTATCCAGATACCTCCCAGCTTTGTAACCGACAGCCTCTTATCTCCTCCGGGTCTGTATAAGAAAACGGCGATCTTCTCTGTATTGTCGTGGTAGATGTCCCGACGATTTGGGGGTTGGAGCTTATAGCTCTTAGCGACCACACCAATTTCCTTGAACTTTTCCCAGTCGACTACGCACACTTATTTAGTGAAGACACTTCTCCAACCTCGGTTCGAGAATGTATTCGAATTCATATTTTCTTCGTGGTACCAGTAGGCATATAATTACAGTCGATTTACCCTCTGTTTAAGTCCGAAATTCCAGGGTTGTGTGGCTGAATATTGCTGCTCGATCAGACCTTAGAGCACCTTCGGTCTTTGGCGCACTCTATTCATATCCAGATCTACAGATGAAAAAAGGACATGTTATTTAGCGGGTGGCGGACTGTTGATATTGTTAGTTGTTAGTTGTTGGTTGTGGTGCTTGATTATTTTCTCGAGCCTCGAGTGCCTTTGAGCAATATAAGTGAAGCTTATGATTTGTATGGCGATTTAAGATAATATGGCATGATGTTGAGTAGCATCGGAGACTTAAAAGGTGTCACCGTATTAGGGTGAGGATGTGCAGTAATACATAGAGAAGAAATAAAGTAGAGAAGTCAACAGACTTTGGAGCACCCTAGCTGGTGGGGAGCATCGACTGGTCTTGCTTGTTCTCATCTCCTGGCACGGGACTCCGTATCAATAAAGATTGCATCGAATTTCATGATGTGACAAAATTTGCCCTATTTTTCGTGCCAAACGAAACTTGTGAGGATCTTATTCGATGAGAGTCCTGGTATTTTGAGAGATGTCATCCTCGTGAACTAAAGCAATGGAGAATGCATTCTTCGCGCTCTGATGTTCTTTTGGTTCCTCAAAACCCGCAATAACTTCAACGAGCTCTTTTCTGAGATGTCCTTTGTTTGGAGCAGACACCCTGGCCTATTGCTATGTGTGAAGGAATCGGGATATCTTTGTAAATGTCTTCTGCAGAGGAGGGCGGGGTCTGATAGTATCGGATAGACTGTTGATTCCGGGAACCATAAGCGATCCTTCCATTGTTTAATTTGAATTGAGCCCAAATTCTGCTGCGGTAGGAACTCCGGATTGTTGTCATCAACAGGTTAGGGTCTAGAACAGCTTGATCTTCTATCCTATCCTTCCTATTTACTATCGGTTCTTGCGAAGTCGAATAATGGAACGGCTAGTCCGCACCGAAGACACATGATCCTCTCTAGTGAGTTAATTGAAGCGTAGAATTGAGGCACACGATGATTGTGTTTCCTTTTCTTCTTTCCCACCCCATGAACTTTTTTCGTTTGAGGTTGGCCTGGTGTGCAACACCAGTCAACCCAAAAGATGAGGACATGTTGGAGTGTCCGTGTTCCTAGTGCAGATGGTGTTGAAGTTAAACTGGTGTTGTAAAGAACCAGACGGCGTAAGCTCCCGAGTATCACTTGGTCCTTGATAGGTGCTGACGGCGGTGTATAGATTGTGCCAATTAATTGGTACATATTGAGAAGGAAATGATTCTCCTAGGGCCCATTGCGCACAAGACTGCATCTTATCTTCTGTAGCAATGAAATATAGCCTAGTTTCATCATTGATATGAAAGCTAAACAGCATTCGTAAAGGGTAGGCCTTCGAGAGGTACGGACTCTGAAGCTACGGGCACACTCTCGTGAAACTCCTCGGGCAGAGAGCGCGAGCTAGGCAGGTCTATCAGGCTACTATTGAGAGTCAGAGAGTCTTCATATCGCCATGAGAGAAGAGAACGAGGATTGTATGACAGAAAACAAGTTATACCAAGCAAGACGTGCTGCTATTTTTGCTGATCACTGCTGATTCTGATGGAACTTTATACATCGATGTATTTGTTCAGAATTAAAAAAAGCATGTCGCCATGACAGCCATACAAGACAAAAGATGCTTCAAGAAGCTGTCAAAATGACGCAACTTTGTTGAAGTTGGCGAGATATAGCGAAACCACTCTAAAGGCGAAGAGGCATGAGTGAGAATGAGAAAAGAAAAAACCTTCCAAGTCCTACGGAAGAAATAAAGGTATATCTCTACCGCACAAGCACATCCCGAGGTAATTATGGAGGAGTGGAAGCTCCGGGAAACAAGTATTGCTCTAGTTTCTGCGGCCTGCTTTGCGAATTTGTGTGTAGACAGCATCACCGTATCAACTAATGGAAGATCACATAATCTGGAACTCCTATGCGCAAAGTACCTTAGCAGAAATGAGAATTGCAAACCTACTCTGTCACACTGGTATCTGCAACCTACTCACCAATTCGTCGGCAATTGACATCAATTTACCGCTCAACAGAGAAAATCACATAATTTGATACACACCGACTGTACCGTACATGGTTTTGTACAGGAATCAATGGATCGGTACTCCATTTCCTGTATGGATGACAACAGTTGCAAACTATGCGCATATCGTATCGATGGAAAAGTGCTTTTCCGGAAGTAGCGTGCATTAGGGAGGTTTTAAATATGCGGACATGTCCGTCACCTTTGCATACATACAAACGGAAAAGTGGCTCAGAAGAGATTGGTAATGAAAATAATCCTCTCGTGGTATCATCAATCTATTCTCCATCTAGCTAGGTATACTACACACGCGTGTTTTACAGAATCAACCTCCCGGGCTCCTGTTCCAAGACAAGCTTGAATCTCTGCATGAAAATTGACGCAGCCTCCATATCAGTTTCTGGAATTGTTACCCAAAATTCATCTGCTGCAACTGGCTCCGGTTTTGGTGCCGAGCGTTTGACTGGTGCTGTCCTTGTAACACCTGACAAGAAGTCATAGACATCGATATTATTGTTCTTTTTCGACGATTGTAATGCTTGAGCACCTTGGCGAAGTGCGGCACCGCTCTCCGGTAAAAAGTTTCCTCTAACCCCATTTGCTGAGTTAACTTTGTCAAGCCCGAGAACGGAGTCAAAAAGTTCATCGGATGTCGGTTTGTAGTTCTTTGGGCGGGGAAGGTCATCATTTGCGACATCTGCTGCACGCTCAATGAATGTTGAGAGAGGTATGAATACACCAAGTGTAGATTGTATCCTTTGTTGAACCTCTACGGCTGCTTTCATGGAAACGGTGTGGGCGACACGGTGGAATGTGATTGGTTTTGGTGCTGGTGCGTCTTTCTTGGCTGGCTTAACTGCCTTGGGAGGAGCAATCTTAATATTGCTGAGGTCGAGGTGGGAGAGTCTGGCGATCTTTTGCGAAAGTTCGGTAGGGTATGAGGAAGATATTGAGCCCAAATACGCTAGAACATCACCTTTCAACAGTCGATTATTAGGACCACTGGGCACCATCTTTTCGATATCAGATGCATCTAATCCACGTGCGTGAATCAAATGTTCGACTGAAGGAAGTAGAGGGTATGTTTGTTTCTTTGCCTTTCCTGATGATTTCTTTACGGGAGCGGAAGTCTCGGCAGATGGCTTCGAGGTAGGGGGAGCTTCAGCTTGTGATTCTGAGGACTTTGCGGGGCTTGGCTTCGAGGCCTCTTCTTTTGGCGGTGGAGGGGCAGCACTGTCTTCAGCTGGTATTTCCAATGAACTCAAATCATCTCCAGATTCTGCGAGAACACCGATTCTTGTGCCAACCTTGATTCCTTTGCTGCCATCTCCCATTGTGATCTTCGCCATAATACCATCATCCTGAGCTTCAACATCCATTGAAGCCTTATCAGTTTCGATCTCGAGTAAGACATCACCAGCCGCAAATGAATCTCCTTCCTTAACATTCCACTTTGCAATATTTCCCTCGGTCATCGTAGGAGAAAGAGCCGGCATCGTGAAGTTCTGGGCAGCTAGACATGCTGCAGAGGTCCTGAGTCCTACCATCATCAAATATTAACCTCCCATACTCAACCCAAAATTTCTCAAGGGTAAATACTAACCTCTGGCAGTGGCATCTTGTCGCAATCCCCTAGCAGTAAGTCTAGCAGATACACGACAAGCTGTCGCAAAAGATGCCATACTGACTGTAGCAGATATGAAACTCAATTGAGAGTTTCTTGAGGAGATAAGTGAAAGTCGAAGATATTCTTGAGATGTTGAGATCAACAAATGGGATATTTCGGGAGGGTACACGCTAGGCCAATTAACAGGGTTGAATAATTTCGCCGAACCTCCGATCATTAATTTTTCCCGTCCCGAAGTTGAAGCTTCGGGTTCCGATTTCACTCATTGAATTTTGTTCTCCAGGTATGGTACGTTTTATTTGAATATGTATATTTGACTTGACAATAAGTCGCTGCTAATACTTTTTAGACGTCCGCATTCTCAAGAGGGTGTATTAAATTACATTCTACGACTCTAAGTTCCTCCCGAGCTTTCCTCTTCACAACTCCAAAACCATGTCGAAACCATCGACTTTTCACATCGACATCCTTATGTCGCTCTACAGCTAGAAAGCCAATGGCAATGCCAACGGCAAAGGTAAAATCGAAACCCAAGCCACAGCTCAAAGCTAAGCCAGTGGTTGCACCTCAAATCAAATCCCCCGAATTAGTTGTCGCGAAACCACCATCGCTGGCTCCAAAACCTCTCAAGTACCACAGCTATGCCGATATTCTGGCTGCGAAACCACATACCACAATTCTCTACCAAGCAGCTTCGCATACCGGATATATTGTGACCTCCTACATAGCTGGAACTTTTCTTCTGGGATTTGCCGGTCTCACTTGTACGTTTTTCTCAGTTGTTGACCAGACATCTTGTCCTCGAGAACACCTCGCTAACCCATCTTCTTCTACTACCCAGTTTGGAATAATTACGTTCATATCCCTGATGATATTGCTGTATGGGTTCCCTATGCTTTCGGCGGTATATCTTTCCTCCTCGCTTGTTGTGGAGGCTACGTCATTCTCTCTCCCGCCGGTCTCATTAAATCTATAACCGCCGTCCCTGCCAGCCTATGCGCTCATCCTCCAAAAGTCGCCGCACCTCTCTATGTAGAGGTTGCCCTCAAAAAGATTGTTCCTATTCCATTCATGCCTCCGCGCATTCTAACTCTACCACCCTCTTCCCTCCATCTTACAAGTCATCTTTATCAAGCCAGAACTCCCGCCGAGGAACGAGCATGGAATAGGATAGTTGAGGCAAAGAAAAGGGAGTTGGCAGAATATGATAGAACGCACATTATTGGAAGAGGCACACGAAAGATTTCAGTGGGCTTATTTGAGTTGGTAAGGTCATTTGGAAGATGTTGGACAAGGGATGGATTCATTCCAGTGAGAGTTACAGAGAGAGGAAAGGGAAGAGTTCTGAAATTAGATGGAGAGGCTGGATGGGCACAAGATGGAGGGAGAGCGTTGGAGAAAATTATAAAGGTTCAAGAGTCTAAGAGAGTGGGGTTCTAGATCTAGTTAGGGATGGAATAGCCGAGAAATCGCTTCGCTAGTAGGGGACCAGGAGAAATGGATCCTAAAAATATTTGTACAATACAAAGACATCACACATTCCAGTAGTACATCTGAGCCGAATGTTATGCTCGCTTGACTATGGCCTGATGGTTGATTTTACACAATCGCGAAGATCATAAAGTGCTCGTCTGAAAATGATAAATTATCATAAACCCAGTAACAGACAATCTGCGTTATTAGCGAGTAGTCACGCAGGGGAAGCAACAGCACTATGATCACATTTTTAAACCTATTCTTCCAAGGTACTCATAATTTTGACGTAGGTGTTTAACAAACATATTGGTCACAAAGGAGATGGGATGGCAAAACCCAATTCAAGCTCTTATTCCATGATTCAACATTCTTGAATAATCAACTGAAAGTATCTAATCTCTAGCTCTGATTTAGAATCCTATGATTATCATCAGGTAGTTCCAGAATAGTACGTTTGGAGTAAAGCACGTCACGATCAGATGGCTCTTTTTAAGTGCACTCTTTCTGTCAGTGAACATAACATTTGGTGTAGTTGTAGTGAATATGATTGTTAAGGAGTCAAGAGCATGGTTATATTAGATGGGATGATGTATTTTCGATTGTTCAAAGAGGTAGGTATGTAAAGCTTTATGGGTTGTCTGATGACTTTTAGGGAGATGGCAAATTGGACTTACAATAGAACCATTATTTCTCCTCTTCCCCGATTTGCGTTGTCGTTTACAGTCTCATGGCGTTTGACGTCGAGGACCTAGATCCTATCACCATCTCAAGGTTCATTATTACATGAATTACCATAACACAAAGAAATTCCACTTCTATCTATTACTTCTGACTTTCACCCACCTATATTGCCTGGACTCTCTCGAATCAAATCGGATGATTTGAGCTATGCGCATGCGTCGGTACTAATTCCATGGTAAGCATGCCACTTGTAGACATGCAACAGAAACTACAACCCTTAAACCAAATATGGGGATGACTGTATAGAAATTCCTGATATGCTGCGGCAAGTATGACTTCTGTAGATTTGCAACAAGATAATACAATTTCCAAAACAAAAATCTTGATACAAAACACCACGGTTCTCAAATATTACGGACATGCAACAAAAGTCACATTTGATCTCTCCATGTGAGAACCAGCCAGCTTATTCCAAAGCCTTAGAGCCATTCTACTTGTGAACCACGGTAAGTACACATTTTCAGGCGTGCAACAAGAATGCGCTAGAGCTCTGAAGCAAACTGGACGGTAAATCACGGCACGTATGCCATTTGTGAATGTGCAACAAATGCTCAAAGTCTCGGTATACAAGTTACCCATGATTACAAGGCTGTGTTAATAAGTATAAGTTATACAGATATGTAATAAGATGTCATAATAGTATCATTGTGTAAATTGGACTGAGCTTTGGGTGCATACCACGGTGCGTACGAATTTTTTAGATCTGCAACAGAAGTTACATTCAATTTCTCCATGTATGTAAGAACCATCCAGCCGAATCCAAAGTCATGGAGCCATCGTAAGTGCCAACCACGGTGAGTGTGCCCTTTTCAAGCGTGCAACAAGGCAATACCTATTACTAATTCCAGAGCTCCATACCAAGCTCTGTGACAAATCACCAACGGTGCGTATGCCATTTGTAGACATGCAACAAAGTATATATTTAACACAGGACTGTATGACCTGTATCCCACGGCAAGTACGCATAAGAAGTGCAACAAAAGAGATTAAAAGCTGGAGGCTCTCCACTATCGTAACACATATTAAATACTCGCATATGTCTTTCCATCTGATTACTAATTTAATAATAAGAATGATCTATTCATTCTATTAATAACCTGTACCTCCGAGCAAGAAGTCGGCTACGATTCCATAAAACATATGACCAAAATCAAATCTAGTCCAAACATCAAGGATCGCAGAAACTAGATTCATGTGCACGTTGTATTAATATCTTCAACTCAAGCCTGCCATCCATACCGGTTACTAGATGTTAAATTAAAGAAAGTACACTGCCAGTAAAATACGGAACTACGTACGCTGAATAGTACACATGAATTAGATATAGAGCAAATATAAGCGAAGTTAGCGAATGTGATTTAAAATCAAGGGATTTTAGCGTCTAATTCTGTGCGCGTATGTTAGATATATTGCAGAAAACTTCCTATTGTTACAATCACCCATCCACTCGCGCGGAATAGACACAGACTGTATTGCACGGTTCGTAAGGAGTCACGGCCAGGCAAAAGGTGCAACTGGAGGTTTCTTCCGGAAAACCTTAACGAGATGAGTAATTATATTTCAGACAACTAGCGAAAAGGACCAAGTTATCCTTGGAACTCAGTCATAGGATAGTAGAAATGAAATCTTAGATGAGTATTTCAGGAAGATTAGATCAAATTTGGAGGAAATAGGTATAAGTCATTGTGATATGCGGAATTCGGGATGCCACATTACTTGCGCCTTCAGATACGAAACAAAAGAACCCAGCGCCCTACTATAGGATTCAAAACTACTGACTGGTGCGTACGCAACTGTAGATATGCAACAAAGTGATAGAAATCTCATGTTAGATACACACCACAAATACTAAGTATCAGAATAACACAGTACAAATGCATCTCTAGATTCGCAACGAAAGATTCAGTGATCGACCTCATAGCATAATATCACTACAAGAAGACTAAAAAAAACATACCACGATTGTACGCAGCAAGAAAGCGCAGGGTACTAACTACAAACCGGTCCATACGCATTTACAGACGCGTGAAAATCTAATCAGAGGTATGTTGAAATGGCAAACTGCATACAAACCCATTCATACTCTATATGCACTTATGATCAGACAATCAACCAAAAGAAGCAACCTTGTTGCCACAAAACGCGATTCCGTCCGTAGGCACGCATTTCCAGACGAGCAAAAAGCAATAAACCAGTCTCTTCCTCAACTCCCACAAACCGCATACAATAATACCTAGTATTCATCCTACCACCCACATCTCCGCACGAGCTGATTGCGAGAAACTTGAACATCTATATTCATGCATGTATACACCTATCAACTCCCTAAGTTCCCAAGCGCGTAGCAATCTTCAATCCAAAAATCATACCTCTCTATCTTCCGACCACCGCTGATTCCCCCCCCCCTCCCCCCCAAATCCATCAATCAACCACCAAGTTCCCACTCATAGCTCCTGTCTCTAGATAAATCATCTCCCCATTCCACCCCTATTCCCACTCCCACAGCACCGACGAATCAAATATACAACAACTTCGATTCTATCCTATATCTAAAATGCAGATGCTAACGCAAATACCTATCTGAATACCTAGGTACTTATACACATATATATGCATAAACACCACAAGATAAATCAAAACCTCAGAACCCACGAATATATATTCAGGAAGAGAAATAAACACTATAAACACCATACCAGTAAAACACACACCATAATATCCTATCAAGTATTCCGTGAGTTGAGATTTCGTACAGTGTTAGGATTTCCATTCTATTATGACGTGTATGTATAGTATATACCTATATACATGTAAAAAGAAACTCAATTCCAACCACAA